AAACAAACCAAACATAGATAATCAAAATAAAAAAACATGAGCAAAAAGCATAGAAGTGCTTAAAGTGATTGTATTTACAAAGTTAGATTAAGGAAAAAAAATGTATCTTACAAGGTATTCCTCACACCTACAGAAATTCCTCTTCCTTCCCATTAATGAGAGGGAATACTGAAGAGGACAATGGATTGTGATTTCTGGGTTTGTGAAACAAAGATTAAACAATTCACCTCAGCTGTCATTTACCATAATGCCTTTTTAAATAATAAATTCTTAGAGTATTTGTTTCCAGCAGTGTTCTAACTCCAGGTTCTAACTCCCAGCACCACCTTGCTGGAGATACTCCGCACAGATATCCACGGGCTCTAGTGGAGTGAGCAAAGCAGGGTGGAGCAAGTGATCCTTATATTGGTATTTCCTGGACCTAGTTGTTTTCACCTTTCTTCCGCTGTTTCCCTGCAACACTCGTTTCTTGTCAAAAGAGGTGGATCTAACCTGCACCACTGAACTGCAGACAAACCTTACATCATATGTAAGCATTTGAGAAACTCTGGGCTTCAATAAAGTTGGAGACCCAAAGGAATGAATGGTTTCCTTCAGTGGCTGGTTGATTGATTTTCTGTTGTATTTTCACAATGACAGCAGTCATGCCTAGATCCTGTCTCTGTGGTGACCAGTGGCAAGACCCAAGAGAATGACCTGAAGTTGTGTTAGAGGACGTTTAGGTCAGATATAAGAAAAAGGTTCTTTATCCAGAGTGTAGGGTTTGGGTGCTGGAACATGCTCTCCAGGGAAGCGGTCACAGCACCAATCCTGACAGAGTTCAAGAAGCATTTGACAATGCTCTCGGGCACGTGGAGTGACTCTTGGTGCAGGGCCGAGAGTTGGACTCAATGATCCTTGAGGGTCCTTTCCAACTCATAATTCTCTGACTCTGTGTTTTTCTGGTGCTAATCTCTGCAAAGATAAGGACTGTGCTACGACAAGACACAAGTGCAATCGGGGCGAAGGACAGCTAACTGGTCCCTCTGCTCCTTTCGACGGCTCCACTACAACGTGGGGGTGTTGATGCTCAAAGAGCCTTACCTATGGGCCCCCCCGCTGCCTCCACTGGGGCTCTGTCCCCAAGGCCGCCTGTCCCCCGAGCCCTCGCATTACGGGCGGGTAGGGCGGCGGTGTCAGGCGGTCCCGCCGCATCCCGCGCTCCATGAGGGACCGGGAGGCCGAGCCGGGCCCGCCCCCTGCCGCCGGACCCCGCCCCGCCCGTTCCCGCGGCCTGCGGCGCTGCCCGGTGCGGCGGGGCCGTCTCTGCAGGACCGGAGCGGCGCATCGGGGTGAGCTCCCTGCCCCCTTTCCTGGAGCGGGGGGTGAGGGGAATGCGGGGGGGAATAGGCCGAGAGAGATGCGGGGCGTGTTGCTAGCAGAGGGGCGGCGGGGCGGGCGGCGGGGCCGGCAGTGCGGCCCGACCCGGCCCGGCCCTCCCTTCCTTTCCCTTCCCTCCCTTCCCATTCCCGGCTTTCTCCTCTGCCGATGCCGCCGCTTTCTCCGGGAAGGGCGCAGGTTTGTCTCCCTCGGTACGCAGCCCTCTGTCCTGCTGGGGCGAAGGGGAGAAGGGAGAGGAAGAGGAGGAAGGAGGAGGAAGGCGATCACGTGCCGGGAGGCGGGCGGAGCGGAGCAGGGGTCTGTTTCTGGGAAGGGGATCCCTCTCCGGCAAGGGGGTGCCGGGGGCGCTCGGGGGATGCTCAGTGGGCACGGCTGCCTGTCCCTCATACCCGGCGCCTCTCCTTCGGCTGGCGGGCCCGGAGGAGGTTTACTTTTCCTCTCTCCTCGCTCAGCAAATCCATCCTCACGCAGATACGGCGACCTGTTTGTCCTGCTGGTAACGACGTGAACGAGCCCGGCCCTGCGAACACCTGGGTTCCATCGCGGGAAAATGTGCTGAGGGTTAATTTTAGCGTCGGGCTGAGTTTAGGGAGCTTCGGAGAGGCACTACCTGCGGTCAGCATCCGAATTTGAATTGCTGAAGTGCAGCGTTTCAATTCCGTGTTGAGGGTGACGCTGGTACGTCTGCAGAGAGAGCTGGTTAAACCCGCAACATTTGGTCTCCAGAAGCGGTTCAAGTTACTCATTGATGGAGTGCTAACACTCAGCAGTTCCCAGTTCGCCGTAGTCAGGTATAAGTAGACACAGTGGTCGACTTTAACCGGGAAAATATTCACCACAAATACTAAACTTGTTTGGTTGTTTTTAAATTGTGTTATTGTGCTTGAAGGCATAAGACCATCACTGTATTTTTGCACAACATTGTCAATATTTTTTACTGTGCACGTTTGACATCTTTGTTTATATAATGTGTAGTTATTATATCTTGTAGATATTATACATTGTGTTGAATATTAATTGCTATGAAAGTTGTCATTTTGTGCTGGAAATCACAGTGTTTTGGGGCATTGTTATTGAATCTAACGTTATGAGAAGGCTCATTTCTATTTATAAGTCTGTAGTGGTGCTACTCTTTTTAGTAGATGTTTTTCATCAGCTTTGCAGTTTTAAGTAGGCCAGGTGCAGAGTGATTTGGCTTTTGTTTGTTCATGGTGTTCAGGGCCAGTTACTTTGCATAAAATGCACCAATGATCCTCTTTTTGTGGCACAAATCCATAATTTTAAGGGGTTTTTTTTGTTATTCACGTGTTAGACTTTTTCAGGATGAATGTTGCTTTCTATGGACTTGGTATGTTGAGAAAGAAATACATAATCTTTTAACAACGCTGGAATTTGTGAAAGACTAAACTCAGTTCAGATGGATTAGGCATTCTTTTTGGTGCATTTGGGCTTGCGTGTGGTTGTCTTGATGCAATGTGGTCTAATTTTTATAAATTCTCAAGTGTTTAGCCATGATATTTTCAAAGTGAGTTTAGCACAATTGTTCTAGGCCTTCATTCATAAGAATGTATTTAGACTTTGACATTTTGAACTTTGTCAGAGCATCCTAGCTAAACATACAGTTATTAAAACATCTTTATTAAAATTTTTTACCAGGCCAAACGTAATTTCTAGTAAGCCCAACTAATTGATTTTACTCAGTGAATTAAGTCAGCATGCACAATATTGCCAGTGATTTTGCAGAAGGTATTGATGACATGGTAATGGTAAATCACACTTGTGATAGCAGGGACTGTGATTTCTCATGGTTAGGCAGCAGCATCCAGCAACTCAGATGAGTCATTTTGAAGGATCACAGATTTGTTGCTTGTTAAACATTCTCTAATTTAACTGTATGTGCTAAATATCTGTTCTTAGTTTGGAATTGTTAGTAACTGTGTTAAAAGACAATTCGTACATTACCTCCCTGCCTTGCTGTCTTAAATTCAGCTAGGAGTAGAATTAAAAATGAGAAATTAAAAAAAGTAGTCCTAGAACCAACTGAGTATCTTCTAATGATGTTATGCTTTTCGTATTAAGTTCAGCTACTCAGCTATCAGCTGAAGCCCTAAAATAGCTTCACTTCAGACATCAGGAGTTAATTTCTATCTTGCACTGACAGAAAAATTAAATAAATTATGTGGAGGTGTATTACAAGAAGTATTTCCTTCTGAAGGTTCAGATGTAGGTCTTTGCTAGAACTTGCTGCTTGGACTAGGTATTTGTTTCCTTACGACGTCCTTTAAGAAGAAAAACAGAACTAAAATGTAAAACCTGAAGCTTCCTTCTGTTTTTAAGCACCTTCAAGAGCTGTAAAAGGGGAGTTAAGAGTGAAAAATTCTTACAAAAGTTTATCCCGTTTTGAAATGGATGTCAGTTTCTTGAAATGCTGTTTTCTTTAAGAGCACTGAGGAATTTTCAGGGGTTGTTTGCCTGGAATAAACTTTTGTGGAATAGTTTTTGAGGGAGTGACAGACTCCTGAGTGTTTCTTACTAATACATAAAATGCCTGAGCTATTTCAGGAAGAGTCCCACAATTCTGTGCTAGCAAAATAATAGCTTTTCTTGTCCAACTAGTATCTGGCTAGCAGCCTTGGGGCATATTTTTGTTGTTGATTTGGGAAAAAACGAAACAAACATGTAGGAGTAGTCAGTGTTATAAACCAGTATCATGCTTGATGTTTGAGGCAATCAGTGAGGTGTTTGATGTCTTTAAAAAATTGTGTTTTGTACTTAGAGAAATGCAGATGTGATAAAATAGATATGCTTTTGATATCTAAATAGTTTCTTTGGCCCACAGTTAACTCTGAGAGACCGAATGGATATTAAGCCCTTACTGCTTATTTAGAGTTTAATGGAGAAAGTGTGCCGTGAAATCTTCATTTCTGTGAGCTGATGTTGGGTGGGCTACAAAGTCAGCTTCAGAGAGAAGGTAACAGATATGAAAAGTTATTACCAGATTCTTTGGAGGTTTTTTAACTGTCTTTCTCTTAGTTTTGTATCACTTCCCCTTTATGCCCACCTCCCTTTTGCAAGAAATCATTAGCAATGTTTTTTCTTTATGTTTTTTATTGCATGTAGGTATTGCTTGTGACTGGAATGTGCATGTATACATAAAACATACAAAAATATTGTATACATGTGTTAATATAACTTTAGAATCCTGATGTAGTTTCAGGTCTTTGGCAAGATTAGTCCAGAACATTTAAACCAAAAGAAAGGGTTATGATATTTTTGAGAAAACTTTAGTTTTGGTTTGAAAATTCATTAAATAAGAGTTGGGACTGGATGATCTTCAATGTCCATTCCAATCCATAGCATTCTCTGATTCTATGAAGTGAGTACTATCAGTTGGAATGTATAGGTTGTAAATGGGATGATATGTTGTCAGTTCTATAACTGGAATACTTTCTCTTTCTGTATTCTAAGGACTAACAGTGATAACATGCACAGAATTCAGTTTTGTATTTTGCAATGCTAAATTATGTTGAGTGCAGCTGAGACCTGTGGCAGACCTTTGGAACATGTTATGGTGCATCCTTTTTGTTAGTTTTTAGTATTTTCTTAAAATAGAATGTAATTGCATATTAGCTCAGTTGTTTAGAGCATTGTTCTAATAATGCTAGGGCACAGGTTTGATCCCTATGTGGGCCATTCATTCTGGTTTGAGCTCTTTTTAAAAGTAAAAGTCTGGGATATGCTGTTAAGAAGGAGTCCAGAGGGGAAGAGACGATGGAGATGAAAGGAAGGAAGGACAATGCTGATGCCAAATTTACAAGCTGTTTACTCTGCCATTTTTCTCAGCTCTTATAGAATAAGAAATGAAGTGTTTGGAAAAGGACAATAGTGTTTTGCAGGACATGGCTCAGTAACAGGGATTCTTCTGCTGCAGGGAAAACTAGTCCAAGGTTGGAGCACTTTGATTTGACTTTCTGAATCCATGAGTGTCTTGGGATAGAGAAAGGTGACACTGCTGTTTCCTCGGATGCTCTACTAACCTAAAAAATGTATTTCCTTTTTTTTATTTTCTTTCTCTTTTTCACCTTCTTTCAATGGTCTGAGAAAAGTTTTATTCAGTACAAATGTGTTCACTTGCCCTGTTACTTTTGCTAGGTCACCATTGGAGCATAGGAAATTGGGGAAACATTTTTCTCAAGGAAACTGGTGGTTTGTTGTTTTGGTTTTGTTTTTACAGGGACAAGTTACCTATAGTATGAGCTGCTACTTCAGGGTAAAGCAGAGCTACTCTAGTTCTGAACACTCAGCTAAAGCCAAACTCTTTGTAAGGAGCTCTCTCCTGTATGCTGCTAAATATTGTCCTGCCCCTCCAGTGGGAAACCTTCCCAGTCTTTAAATATGTTACATATTTGTAACTTGTAATACCTGTTGTGTTGCCTAATTGAAAAGCTGGAGTATTGCCAAAGCACTCTTCAGTATCTTCTGCTTATGTTCTGAGAGTTTTGTGGATGTGCATCAGTTTGAATTTTTCAGTCTTACTTTGATTAAAGTGTCTAGCCCAGATTTGGGGTTTTTTATTGGTGTTTTGGGATTTTTAAAATATCCCTTCATGTTCACTAAGGAACATTTGTTTTGAACAGAACAGTGCTTCGGAGGGTGTTTTTAAAGGCATTGAAACATTAAAATGTTTCTGAGGCAATGATGTGTTTACAGCCAGAGACAGAATGAGTGCAGCTTGGAAGGGATTTAAGTTCTCCTTCAGGAACAGGAGCAGTGACTATCCATCCGGAGGTCACTAGTAATGTATCTGCTACAGGCACATTTCAGAAAAATTAGTTCTTGCAGATATATAAACAGAAGAGGGACGGAGTGTGTCAGCAGAGTGGGTTTTTGTTCATTTATAGTGGGAAACTCTAAAATATGTGTCCAGGTAAGCTTTGGAGGCAGTCTCCAGCTCTTTGGGATTTTTTTTCCCCCTGATTTATAATCAGCATTACTTCATCTTCATAGGTATTGTTTTTATCTGTGTTGGCTCTTAATCAGGGTGTGTGCTGGTACTGTCAGAAAGCACACACACAGTATTCTGCTAATACTCCTGCAGGTTAATACGGCTTCATACCAGAAAGTCTCAGATTATTTGATTTCCAATATGGAGTCTTTATAAATAATTGGATATTGTGTCCAAGGTGTTGACTAGGGCAATTTTTGTCTATGCCTAGATAAAGAATGAAGTTGTGCTTCATGATGGTGACAGAACAAACAATGGTTTGAGACCATTTTCCTTTAGGTGTGTTAAAATTGTCTGAAACTATCTTTAAGTATAGCTTAAATATTTGAATGTTAGTGTTACAATACCAATTACTGTATTAAGCTCTCCTTTTATGAGAAATTTTGGGTTTATCTGTGCCATGTAGTGTGGTCCTATAGAATAGCAGGTAGCGTAAGCAGCAATGTCAGCCCTTTTACCAGAAAACAACTCCTTTGGTAAAGAACTGTAAAGAAGTGGTGTGTTTTATTTGTCTCCCTATGAGGAAAGTTTTTAGCAAGGAAATGCTGGGGGTTTTTTGACGGGGGGGGGGGTGAAGGTTGGGGGTTGGGGGTTTTTTTGTTTTTTGGGGTTTTTTGTTTTGTTTTTGTTTTGTTTTTGTTTCTGGGTTTTTTTTTGTTTTTGTTGTGAGTAAAAATTGCTGCTGTTTCAGTGTCAGCTTTTCGAGTACCATGTAGTTTTCACAATACTTGAGCATCTTGGCCACTATATTGGCCATGTCATCCTATTTTACTCATTGGAAAGAATAAATATTTTCAGATTTTTTTAAACATTCACAGAAAAGCTGTTTATGGTGGGAATTTTTGGGCCATATTTAGTGTCGTCAGGACGCATATAATAAGTATTCTAGGTATTCAGTATGTTTCAACAGCGTTGTGACTCAATGTTACATTGTGTGCCTAGTTACTTTATGCAAATGTGACTTCTCTGATGTTTTAACCTAAATTAGCATTGCCTTTCCAGATTGCCTCCATGTGACACTTTAAGTTTAGATTTTGCTGATAGCCTTTGAGTAAGCCTTTTTTTTGGGGTTTTTTTGTTTTGTTTTTTTCAAATCATATCTGTTATCTTTTCTCAGTTAAGTTCTTCTGCATGGTTTTTTTTTCTTGGGAAGAAAAATGTATCATATATGGTGTTGTTGCTCATGTATGATACAGTAATATAGTAAACAAAAATAATTTAAACCAAGGACAATAAACTGGAAGAATAAGGGTAGAAGAAGGATAGAAAAGAAGTAGCGTTCTGATGTTGCACCTCTAAGATACGTGTAAAATTGACACATGCAGTGTATGCCATCTGTTTCTGTCAGTATGAATGAAAATAATGACATTAATTGTAAATGCAGCTTGAAATCATGGACAAGCTCTCACCATATATTGCTAAAGTCTTTATTAAACTTTGAGGGCAGGGAAGGACTGCAGTCCTAAGTTTGATAATTTTAATTCCATTACTTTTCACTTATTATACTAGTTAGTACTATTGATAAATGTAAAATCCGTATTTCACTAGAAAGTTTGAGAATTTAATTCTCTGTTTGGAAGCTTGAGTTATGGCCATAACGATTAAGTATTTAAAAAAATAAAAAAGGCAAAATGCATCTTTAATTTAAATAGATACAAACTTTGGGGGCTTTCTTTCCAGGAAAAATATGCCACTGTTGTCTATAACTTTGAATAGGTCAGCACAGAAAACTTACTTAGCTATATATTTTAGTAGTTGAGTGAATATATGCAGTTATGAAGAAAACAAACCAAAAAAATCCATTAAAATCTTTCATCTTTTGAAATCGGGGGGGGCAGAAGAAGGTATATCACAAATATACTAATGTGGATTCTTATTTCAGAAGTTTTATTTCCCTTTTAAATGTTTTGACACTTCAATAAGCTTGTAGCTTCTGTCGTTTCACTTGCCTAGTAGATGAAGGGAAGGTGGTGAATATAGTTTTCCTGGATTTTATTAAGGCGTTTGATACTGTACTCCCCAGCATCCTTCTGGACAAGTCTGACTGTGAAGTGAACAGATGGTGTGCTGGAAGAACTGGCTGGAGGACAGGGCTCAAAGGGTTGTAGAGAATGGGGCTACACCTGGCTGGAGACCAGTCACCAGTGGTGTTCCTCAGGGCTTAATCCCGAGGCCAGTTCTTCGCAAAGTTTTTATCAGTGATCTGGAGGCAAGAGTCAAATGGCCTATTAGGAAGTTTGCTGATGGTGCTAAAGTGGGAGGTGCTGTTACACATTCTAAAGGGACAAGAGCATGAAACTGAGCAAGAACAAGTGCTGGACTCTGCACCTGGGATAGAGCAGTACCTTCCACAAGTACAAATTTCAAGAGGAGTGACTGGGGAGCAGCACCACAGAAATGGGTCTGGGGATCCTGGCTGACAGCAGGCTCAAAGTCAGCAGTGGCAAGTCTTCAAATACAGCACAACTAGCTGGACAAAAGGAGTGATCATCCCACTCTAATTAGTGGTGCTGCAACTTCATTTTGAGTACTCTGTACAATTCTGGGCCCCAAAATTTAAAAGGGATGTGAAGGTGCAAGTGGAGGGCACTGAAGCTGGTTGAAGAGTAATGTCCTGAGAGAAGCAGCTGAAGACACAGGGTTCTCATCTAGTTTGGAGAGAAGGCTGAGGGGTGACCACACTGTTCTTTGCACCTTCCTGAGGTGGTGGAGAGGGAAGTTGCTGATCTCTTCTCAGTAGTACCCAGTACCAAGGGCATGTGGGAATGGCTGAAAGCTGCATCCATCAGAGCAGGTTCAGACTTGATATGAGGAAACATTTCTTTACCAATGGGGTTGATGCCCCAAGCCTGTCAGTGTTTAAGAGTCATTTGGGCATTGCCCCTAATGCCATACTTAAACTTTTTTTTCAGCCCTGAAGTGGTCAGGCAGTTGGATAAGGTGACTGCTTTCTGTCCCTTTCAGCTGAATACTCTATTCTTCACTCAGGATGAGTCAAATAACAATAAGACTGTTATTTGCCTGAAATGCCAGGGATTTTTTTAGCTTTGAAAACACTTTCAAAAACACCTAACACAAGAGATACTGGAAACGGGGTTTTATTTTTCTGACTCTTTCAGAACAGATGTTCACAGGCATTACCACAATGTACAGGTGTAGCCAGGAGCAGGTTAATGCAATCCTCACTTTGGTTTGAAAAACCATCACTTGAACTCTGGCAAAGGAAAATCAGAGAGCTACAGATCACTGCAAATCCCCTACATCTTGTAGAGAGCCATTTGCTAGTGGGACTGTGTGGGGAAAACAGATTTTTGTCTTACTCACATGTCTCTTGTAGCAAGGAGTTAATGGCACAGTTTGTATCCAACAAGTTGCTATGAACTCCACCTCTCCAGGCAAGTTTGCCCACAGAGTTTCTTGGAATATTCTGAACTATGGGCTGACACTCCTGGTGAGTGTCCTGCACCCAAGCTTTACAGAAAATGAACATGCTGGTCTCTAAACATCACTTCTTCATAGGATGTGTTTGTTTTGACCAAACATCCTTCCTGAACCCTGCTGTATAGAATAGCCCAAACAATGAAATTGCCTGGAGCCAAAAGAAGTGCTGCCAGTGGAACCTAGTCTCCTTCAAATCAGAGGCAGACACTGGTTCAAGTCACAGATGATACAGCAGTCTTGAAAATAT